TCCCCCCTCCCACCCAAGGCTAGAGAGAGGTAAACAATTTCCCAAAACTCAGTTTTCACATCTGAAACAGGATGTCTTCCATTGTGGTACCCCTAAGACTGCCATGACTTGACTTGACCAAAGAGGCAAAATAAACATAACTGATCAACTGTATGCTGATTAGCATTATTACAGGCCAGCTGTTACAGGGTTGCCACTCGTTAGAACCCAAAAAATTCCCTGACTTTTTGCTGACTTTTCACTGACCTCAAAACATTTTTCACTGACCTTGAATTAAATTAATTATCAAACAGGCCAAACCACTTTTACATTTCTCTATCGCTTTTAAGCTTTCTATCCGAATTGCTACACTCAATCGACTACTTCACAAACCTTTGTGGAACCCTCAAAACAAAATTCCCTGACTTTTCCCTGACTTTGATGAGAACCAAGATTTTCTCTGACTTTTTGCAGAATTCCCTGACTTTTCCCTGACCTTGAAAAATTTTTGCTTTTCCCTGACTTTTTCCTGACCGTGGCAACCCTGTGTAAGTTGTTTCTGAAAACTTGGTGTTAATCCTTCACACCCTAATATCAGTAAGCAAGTTCTCAATACTGTTCCCCATACATTTCCTATGGAACTTACAAGGAGAATTTGTCTAACAATCAAGAACTTCTTGAGTTTGCAATCATTTCTTTTATCCTCTTGACTTTTATAGTTCCTTTGAGTGGTGATACTGTTTGGAAAAATAAGTTCCTTCTTATTCTTACTGTATAAAGGGTTAAATCAGCCCAGTTCCTCTCAAAGCTTTTGTAGCAATGTGATGGAAAGTGGATGAATGGAACTCAGAACAATCTGTTTCCTTTCAGTTTAGTGAGATTTTTGCTTTGACCCCTTACCTGGGGTACCTGTAATGGGGTGAAAGGCTCCAAACTAAACAGCAGTTGCCATTTAGGAACCTAAAATGATTTGTAAAATGGTCACCAGAGATAAAATTTTGGGCAGAAAAATTAATCAATTGAAAAACTCACCACACAGAGTTCCTGTTGAAATTGAGAAAACAACCATCTTGAAAAATACTCCTGGTGTACTCAGTGGATCTTTAGCTCCTGTTAGATGCTGAAATGAACTGGGCTGAAAACAGAAGACAAAAATATTATCACACAGTAGACTTAGTACGATAACTCTGATTGGTCTAGAGCATACAGTCAATATCCAATAGCATGTGAAGTTGACATGATAAAACAATATCTGCAGAAAGTTTCCAAGCCCCTAGTCCATGTATTGTTCTCAAACTTTTGCAAACTCAGGAAGTGTCTTCTTTTGTAGATTGATTAAAAAATGTAAAATAAAACAGTTACTGAAATTGGTTTTTTCTTGATATCGTGAATTGTCAAACCTCGTTTCTGTTATCTTTCTCAGCCCTTGGCTTCGGCAGATAACTCAGACCTTGACATCGATAACTCATGATATCATGCTTAATCTCATCCCTTTACACACCCCCCTCCCCTCCCACATCACTTCACAATGCTCCTTCCTTGTAACACTTGCACTTCCTATCATACTGACACAGAGAATTTGTTTGACAGTCACAAGACTTTTTAGCTTGGAATAATTTCCTTATTCTCATGACCCTAATGTTTGATTCCAGGAATTAAAGGGTTAAATTTTTTTTTTCAAAAAAAATCAATCTTCTGCAAAACACCATTTAACTTTTGCGAAAATCAAAATCAAAAGTTGTTTCTGATTTGACTGTTTTCTCTACCAAATTTTGGGCATAATACATGGCTGTTCTGTAGCAGGATTTGAAAAACAACTTTTAAAATTAAGAAAGGCATGCACAGTGAAAGTTTCCAGGAATATTGGTTGACAAGCCAAGTTAACGCATGATACAACAGCACTACTGACATACCTTATTATAGGAAATCAACAATGCATGTAATTAACGCGAATTTTAAAACTTCGCATCAATTTTATGTATCTTAAATTACCTCATTGTTAATTAAAATGAGGTTAATTGAAAGCATTGTTATTTAAAGACACCTTCATTATAAGCAAAGCTACAATTCCTCTACGTCACTGTCAGAGTCGGTTGACGCATCATCATTTAATATTAAGTTCAAAATGTCCTTAGATTCATCAGTGTAGCGATCGTCTTCTCTGAGGGGATAACTCACTTCTTCAACTTTCTTGCACAAAATGTCTATCGCATTTTTGTCATCCCATTTCATTTCTTATGTTTTTTGCCAGAAATAAAGAGAAAATTTTGTTGTTGGCTGTTGTTGTTTTCTAACGAAATGAGTGCGAAAAATATTAAATTCATGTCTTAATTATGCAACCTACCGCACGAAAATTCGCGTTAATTAAATGTATGTAAACATAACTTTTGGAAAATTCGCGTTAATTTTATGATGCGTAAATTTTGTTCGCGTTATTAACATGCTTCGTTATATTCCTATAATAAGGTAACCAAAGTGCCCCATCAGAATTACTTCAGTTGTTAAATTAAGTTCTTTACACCGTTGCATCAGTATGCAAATTCTCCATACCATTCTCTATACATTTCCTAAGATGCTGACTAGGAGAATTTGTTTAACAATCAAAAGCTTCTTTAGTTGATGATCATTTCCTCTTTTCTTGTGTACTCAACTTTTGATTTCAGGGCAATATCATAATGAGAAATTCGACACTTAAGTCACTTTTTGGGGTCAAAGGGTTTTTAACTGCTTTCACTGATAGCACCACTCACCTCAATCTTATAGACCAGTGTGTAAAGCCCAGCATAGAGAAGTGTTGTTGATAAAAAAGACTGTGCAAGGAATGATTTTGTTAAAGTCTGATGCATTATTTGCTTGGTGAGTTTTACTGAAACAGGGAAAACAAAAGTAAGTTTAGAAATTGCATTATAGAGGAGTACGTAAGGTCCAAAAGAAAGCAGATGACTATTCAACACAGCAGGACACTGTGGGGGGCCCTTACACCTTCAAAGGTGTCACCAACCAACAGGCCCTCAATAGTCATGCCTTGGAACGGACATTTCTTTGTCCCCAGGAAAGAATGAGGTAAATAAATAAATAAATAAATAAATATGTAAATTGAAGCTCCCCCTCAGGAGCTTTTCAGCCACAATGTCAACTAACTACGGAGGCAGACCAGTGGGATATTTACAGAGTGCAGCCGAGGAGTTGAACTAGGAGCAACCGAGAACAAATCCAGTGAGTGGCAGAATGGAGGATTTGAACCCGGGACACCGGATTTACAAGTCCAGCACCCTGACCACTTGGCCACGCCGCCTCCTCAGCCAAGCAGGAGTTCTGGAAGGGGACGTCTCGAATGATAGTGTCAGATTTCCCAGTAAACCTTTCCCTCACTTATCTCAAATCTTCCTGTGGGTGGCAGCAGCCCAAATAGTAATGGCCAACTTACAGGTTACCACAGGCACTCAAAAGGATGGTGATGATGTTGACAATTTATACAGTCCAGCGGTCAAACTCAATAATGAGAAAATAAAGTACTGCTATTTACTTACTTGTTGTTAAGATTACCAAAAGTAGATTAGCTGCTTGGAAAACCACAATTACACCTACGCTCTACAAAAAAGGATGCAAAACTAGTCAATTATCATAGTTTAACTATGATCTTGAAAACACCTTTAAAAACTTGCCAAACAATTAAATAAAAACAATCCAAAAATAATGCATTATGATAAAAATAGTTTCATTACATTTTGTAATCTTGTCATCTTGAAGGCTAACCCTTTCTCTCCAAGAAGTGATGAACATGTAAGTTCTTCCGAATGCATCTCTAAACTATCCGGTAAACAGGTAATAAGTAAACTCAGACTTATCAGGTAGGAGTTGTTGTCTCGATTTACCAACAAATTCTCATAACTTATTCACAAGGAAATGGGTAACAGCTAGAGGGAAGAATTAACAATCAAATCTCAGGAGATAGACTTAAATTGTACATTCAAATAACTGCGAAAGTTGCAATAAATAAACAATGATTGGGAAATTACCACATAATATACAGTTTTGTCCTCTTCTTTCTCATCACCTTTGGAATTATTTGCAAATGCTTCAGTAATCACAACAGCTACGATGTTCAGAATCTAGAGAGAAGAGAAAACTAGACTAAGTGAGATTTTTCAATCAAGAATTGGAATCATCATTGAAAAGATTGAAAAAAGGTTTGTACTGAAAATCTTTTTCTAAATTAAATTTTTAGTCCCTGTCAATAACAGTTTTTTTTTACATGGACCTAGTCTGTTTGTGGTTTACAGGATTGTCCATGTCACCATAGCTAATTCAATTTCTTAGTTTGTTTATCTGTATATTCGTATATCTTTTTAACTTCAATTCCCTTGGATGGGTGCCTCACATGGGTCTGGGTGTTGCATTTTTAACTTTCCTATTTGGGTTTAAATTCCCTTTCATCATTCTTCTTATTTGTTGTTATCACCCTGTCACTACTAGCACTACTTCCTTATCCATTGCCCAATAAAGATGATAAAAAAGGGAAGGAAAAAAAAAACTACAGTGGAACCCCGATACAATGATCCTCGACATAACAATATTCCCAGTACAACGATAAATATGCTATGTCCTAGCAAAAGTTATCCCGTCTCGATATAACGAAAACTCAATATAACGAAAACTCAATACAACAATCTAATTCCACTGTTCCCTTGGCATATCGTTATATTGGGGTTCCACTGTAGAAATAGAAAGCAAAGTTTAAAAGGTTATAATTTTATACCTGCCATATAACTGTTCCAAGCAAAAGATGTCTTGTAATAAATCTTGGAATCTTGTGACTTCTGCCAATGAAATGAATGAGTGTTAAATTGTTCAAAGTAAGGATGACTGTAAAATATTAAGTCAGGTTTGGGAAAAAATTCACACAAAAGCATGTCAAACACAAGCCAGTGCCTTTTCAGACTAAAAAACCAGTCCATTCTAATTTGTTTCCTGTTATTTCTAACCCTTTCACTTCTTAGGACAACCAGCATCCAATTTCTCATTACAATATCACCCCTGAATCACACATTAGGGTCCTGAGAATAATAGGAAATGATCACCAACTAAAAAAGCTCTTGATTGTGACACAAATTCTCCTTGTCAGCACCTTACAAAATGCATAGAGAATAGTATGGAGAATACACATACTGAAGTCAGGGACTGTAAATGGTTTATCTCTGAATTTCAAAATTATTGATAGTTTGGTCTTGAATATTGACATGGTAAACAAAAGCAGCTTTTGAGTGCAGTAACTAGTTTGCAACTTTCTACTGACAAGAGAGGGGGTTAGAGATTCTAGCCCTCCCATTTTGGTCCAGAAAGCAACCTACAAGTATTTTGATCATTGTCTGTACATAGGGGATGGAGAATTTGAACCTTGCTTGGCTGCAGTGGGGAATTTGAACCAGAAGTGTCAAGTCTTTCTAGTGAAATGCAAGTTTTACATCTTTAAAAATTGAGGTGTTTAAAAAGAATAGAGTTCACTTTTGCTCACGAATGGCTCAGAGAAAAAGGTGTACAAGATCTACAAGGAAGATGAGCGGACCAGTTTTCAAGGTCCAAATGGCCGAGGGGTTGCTGGGTGGGGGGTTGTCGAAGCTTTAAAGATGGTACTCCCCTCTCCTCCCCTACTTCAATTCAAACCCTCAAGCTTTCTCTGACCTCCATGGTTGCATCTATGTATTGAAGCCCTTCTAAGCAAAAGGGAAAATTAAAGCTGGCAGAGGATTGGCTGCTTTCGACTTCGTTGCCGTTATCAGTGTATACCCCATAATGGTCAATTGCAATGGTAACGCTTCAAGGACAAAAACATCCGGTTGAGTGACATTAACCAATACCAGTTCCCTTTGTTTGCGTCCTTTCAGGCTGGTTATCAAAGAGTTTATCAGACGATGTACTTCAGCATCATCACTACAGAAAGAAACTGGGGAAAATTAAAAGCCTCACCTGCGCTGCCTGGTCAAACTTTCCAATTCCACCGAGTTTAAACCAATTTGTCGAAGCATGTCGCTTGTGGAATCCAGGGCAGTGAGCAATTCTTCGAGTTGTTCAAAGCTTATATTAACTACAGGATCTCTGTGAAGTCTTCTATCTCTTTCATAGTCATTGCCCTTTTCTCTCTCTGCAGAACTTGACTGACTCAACGCATCTGGTTGCATGCCGAGCTTATCTGCAAGGGATAGAAGTCGGGAGTCTGTACTAGCTTCGTGAGGACCTCCAGTTTCCCCCGTCGTGTAAATCCTTTCGCGATCTTCAAGAAGGGGTGTTGTTATCCTTGCAGCCATGTTAGAGAACACCTGTGTTCAAAGGTCTTGCACAAGGGTCCACAAAAGCTACGAGGAAGTTGCACAATAAGCAATAATCCAGTGATCTTTCAAATGGACAATTTAAAAGATCATTTTACCGCGGGAGACTAGTGACGATACGCACCAGTTCCCATCAAGCCTTTCGTTGTTGCCTTTCACTTTAAACATGGCGGCAGAGTCGGGTGTAATATCTTGGAATTCGAGGTCTCCAACAAGCTGATGCAATATGCCAGTGTATTTTTCCTATAAAGATTTACGTCAGTACTAACCAGAGGTTGATGATGTTGAGAGTTTTGAGTGCTTGCAGGTCAGTCGACCAAGAAAATTCCTCAAAGTTTGATACTTGCTCAATTGACCTATAAAAATCTAAAACTGATATTTTTCTTGGGCTGGGTCTAGTTGAGGAGGATCGTTCTGCGATCAGGCGTATGAGAAGCCAAAGAGATGCTTATTTTTTCAAAAAACGGATAATTTTTTTCTTTTGTCGGTCGAAAACGTGGAGTTGCCATTTGTAATCGCCTAGTTTGGATTTAACTTCGTCCACGAAAACACACATTTGTACAAGTTTGTGCGTATTATGCCTACAATCCCAAAATGTTTGATCGATATGGACCATAAGTCAATATCTGTAGAAATACTGAATAACTTTATTCATAGGGTGAAATACAAAGGTGTTTTAAGTTTATTTGAACGAAAAATAACTTTGAACTACATAGCTAGAGATTCACATCACATAGAAATATAAAAGGCATACATATATCGTTTCAATAAAGTACATCAAATATTACACTATGATGTAGGAGTGACATGTTTATAAATTGAATATAGTAATAAGCATAAATTAAAGGGTTTTATTTATTATTGTGGGCGGAGTGAATCACAGATAAATCTTTTGTTGCTCACAAAAATGTTATTCCAATGAAATAAGACAATTATCTATAGTTAACAGACAAAATTTAACAAAGCATGATTTTATTGTTCATGGAGCCTAGAAGTTTGTGGAGCAGTGAGGATTTCTAGCCAGCTTCTTTCCATTTAAATTCAGTTTACAAGGTTGCAAATAACTAAAAGGCAGTCGCCGGTCATGTTGTCCGGTCAAACATGCTTTTGCTCGGACACTACCCATTTTTGGCCAGTCAAATTTTAACAGTCCGAACTCATGCGATAGTGAACCCAGATTGCGCAGTAATCCTTTTACAACTAAAAAACAACTGAATCCAAGTCTGTCTGGCAATGAAAATTATAAGTCAATAAATTTACTACTCTTTACTGCAGAAGCAGCCTCGAATCGACTACGTGGAACGGTTACTCAAGATACAACCGCAATTGTCCGTTTTACTTTACATCTGGCAAAATCGCTTATAATTAAATATTACACTCAGAGCCCTTTTTTTTAAAGTTACAGTTGTGAATTTTTGTTAGAGTAAAAGAGTGGTCGGATTCTCTAGATTTTGGGCCTTTTGCTCGCTTTTTGCACTTTGCAACAATTGCTACTTGGAGTATTCTCGATGCAACAAGATTATTCTTTGTGAGGGTGCTTTCCGATCATTCAATCGATCAAACAATCAATCACTTTATTTAAGAGTAAATGATGGTATGTAGCCAAAGGTAAAACCCTCTACTAACTGGGAACACTTAAATAAAGTAAATAAAATAACGGAAGACATGATGATTTGCAGTCGCGACAGGACTTAATGACATCGCGGAAATTTGCAACTGTCGGGAATTTCTCGACCTCTAATTTGTCTACTTTTATATTGTTTTTTTTTTTTTTTT